CATTTCTCTCTCTCTCTCTCTCTCTCTCTCTCTCTTCTCTCTCTCTCTGTTTGCGAGCCGCCACTAAGGTCTTGGCGAGGTAGCGCGCATGAAGACCACTGCTCTAGATGAAGATGCCACCAAGCAGCGGCAACACAGAACTGCCTAGTCTTACGCCGGCTGGGGGCCGGAATCTACCACTTAGATTCCAACACATGCTCTACTTTACCTCCGTCACACTAGTTACTCTTCAACAAAATACGTTTTTGCTTGTTTAATCATGGACATGTACTTGGAAAGTAGTATAAAACCTGTATGAAATGATAGAATGATATAACAAGGTAAATTTCAGATTTCGACTAGTCGCCAAAATTTTGTAACTTTAGTGTTTATGGAATATTCCTTGGTGGTTTAATGATGGTATGCTGTTGTTTTCTGTTGTACATGAATCGTTATAAGTGACATAATTGTATTCTCGCAACGGCTATGTTGATAGTATGTTAGTAGAGTAATACTTTATTTTTTTAGGGAGAATTAGCTTGATTTAAAGCATCAAAACATTACAAAACATTCTTAACTATTTTTAAATGTGTTCATGGTTAAAACTGGGATACTTTTTGCATATTGTTGTACAAAACATATAACCTTTAACCGTGGATCTGGTTCCTTTACTTCATACTGATGAACGAAGACTGCAACCTGTACAATAGGTCGTTGGAAGTAGTAGCAGAGTTTGTAATAAAAGTATGAATAATAGAACAATAAAAATCAAGACAAAGTTCTATGGTAATATTTGTCTGCAAATGGTTCATAAAGGTGGAAATGTAAAAGAAAACAGAGAAGATTGCCATTTAGTGAAGTCACTCAATATTGGTTACATTGTAAAGAGAAATGCCAGACTCATAGTTCAGTATAACTATGCACGTGGTGAAAGACCCACAATGTAAAAAATAGATTTATTGACAATTGAAGACAACAGTTTAGGAATCCACCTGGATTTCCATCCTTTCCGACAAGGCCGGTGGGAATGTTTTGTTTTCAGTTGGCATGTCAAATTTGGGTATTATTAAGACTATACAGTGGAATTGAAGAAGTAATAACATTAGTAACCATCCATTTGATTTCCGAGTTATTTAGTGTCCCAAATGTCAAAAAAATGATTAGAGAAACATTTACATGAAAATAGATTTCAATTCAAAACAAATATGAAGAAATGGATGGACCAATTGCAAGAGTGAAACTAAACTGAAATATGATATAATAATTCTGCTTTTAACTTTGATTTAAGTACTTTGAATTTGGTACACTAAGACCATTGGTATAAACTACAGCAATGACCAGGGAATTTCAATGCAAAACATGTTTCAGCCAGAACATGCCCTTCTTTCAAACAGCTTAGAATCCATCCACTTGTACATTCTTTTTCAGTTGTCTGCCACTCCCCCGTCATTAATACTTTTCAATCCTGGTATCTCCTCCTCCTTACTCACTCCATAAATCAAAGTCCTTCTACTGCATCACCTCTGAAAACCTTTTAGCCTAGCCAAGTGGGGTCAATCTTGTGATTCGCACTACAGCACATATTGACAATACTTCCTCTTTCAACAATGTATCCTGAAAAAGTAGGTGAAAGTTTCTGTGAAAGGACTGCTTGCCACTTCATTAACTATGATGCAGTGGCAGTACAGTGTTATGCTATTCATCCCCGAGGCCACACGTAAGTCCTACAACAATAATGCCATGATTAGCTTCCATAGACATAACCTCTCCATGAAGTTTTGGTGGAGGTCCTGCCCAGAAATGTCAGAATGGTGTTTTGGCCACTTGCCAAACGGCTGCCACTCCATAGAAGCTCTGCCCTCTATATGCCCAACCTGGCCATGACATTCAAATACTCTGATAGTCATCATTGTGCCAGTTGTGGTGGATTCCCTAACTGTATTTATAGGAGCGCCTGCTTACAAGTCAAATCAGAGTAGTTTAATTCTTCATATTCAAATTAGAAGCTACCAACAAGGTTTTTTTTCTCAAGATGTTTAAGATACCCCACATATTCTTTCCCTACTATCCTATGCCACTCTCTCTCCCTCAGTCAAAAGTCTTTTTTCAGTCTAAATCCAGAATTCTATCCATCCTCATCACTTGATCTGTTGCACCATTCAACTAAATGTTTACCCATCTTTGACCACATCCTCCCCAATACCACCTCTTCTCTGCTTCGCAAGACTCTGTATACTCTTATCCTCATAAAGAAAACCCTTCACTTTGCAGACTTCTCCTCCCCACTCCCCTCCAAAAACCTTGGAGACATCCAAAATTTCCTTAAACAGGACACATAGAATGCTCTCTATCATCCACCTTCCAATACTTAGCACCATTAAAAAAAAAGTATATTCAAGTAATAGATGATATCCATCCTCCTACACATCCCACGTCCCCTCTTCTGTCCTATTTCCTGCGATGCTCATGTGACAGGGGCCTCTCCTGGAATCCGTCCTCTCTAATGTTTTCACTTTCCCGGTTCCTTATTCATCTCTGGATTTTATCTACTACTTCTCCAACACCAGTTCTGGTTTTATGAACAGATAATTGTTCAAATGGCTCTGTTGCAGTGTGCCACAGATACTCTCCAGTTGATGTAATTGCTCTATGCCTAACTTTTACTTATCCTGCCTTACTTTGTTCCCCCCCCCCTAAATCTTACCCTTTCTGAGACATCTAACCCCTTTAATCTTTATTGTGCAGCTTTTAGTTACCATTTCAACCACCAATAACTGACCTAGTTCTAGATGACTTTGATGTCTAGCACATGTTACTGTTTATCCATTAACTTCCACTTGATATATGTTCTAAATAATTAGCAATGGATTCAGTAGTCAATATCAAGTGAGAGATATTGTCATGCTAGGGAGAGATGACAATCCATGCTTGCCGACAAAGGCAGTCCCTAAATTCAGTAAATTGATCATAGTCAAGAAGGTTAGAAAAAAAAACACTCAAAATATCTTAATAGATGCATGACAGTGGCAATGACAATGTTATAAAACCCAATTACAACAAAAAAAATGGGGTTCATCTTCATGAAAAAAAACTAAAGTCTCATACCAGTGCTTTTTCTGATAATTTTTTTTGTACTCACTTTTTTCATATTAGACTGCATTCTCATCTGTAATCCGGGTGCTTGCTATAATTAGTATTTGTATTAATTCTTTTTTTTCTCAATGGAAAGATAGCTTGCATTAACTGAACTATGGAAATAATGACAAAGAAACATATAAATAAATTTAACCCATTGCCTCTGTTGGCGCTGTTAGCGCCTGATTTGAAATGGGCGGGAAAAAAAGTATTTTTCACTAGTGACCATGATATCGGATGGGTATTTTTCTTATAAACATATAATGTTTATATATGTTTTTTTTACATTAGTAACAGCAAAATAAGAAACGTAAAAATATTTTGTTAATCAAGAAAAGGGATGAACGGTTCGAGACGGGCAGTACTCGTAACTGGCCTCATGGTGATTTAGTACAAGTGTAGCCATCTATGTGTAAATATAATCCAACCCGTAACTCACAGTGGGCATGGCATGGACATGCCCATTGGGAATGGGTTACACTCAAAATGTTTGTCATATTTTTTACTTGTACATATAAAAAAACAAACATGGGGCTAAGCAGTAAAATGATCAATTAGTGTATTGTCTAGCACTGTATGCTATGTTTTCTCTTAGAGTTTACTTATACGCTGTTGCTTTTACTGTATGGCCATCATCACTCAGTCCTTGCAGCTTTATTATGTTCGTATATTTAATGTAGTCATCTTCATCTTGCTGCATACTTTGCCTAAATAGCATTTATTTGGCCATAATGTTATGTTATGATTTTTCTGTGATAACCATAAGACCTTTTAATGCTGAAAAGATAATATTATATCACTTTCCGTTCTATTAATTAAAGTAGAATATTAAGGAAAGTAATTTATCATAATTTTTATTTATCAATTTCAGAAGAAGAACTAAGAATAACTTTACAATGCATCAAACTGACTATCCTAATTCAACACGATACTGGGGCACAGTAGCTTGTGAAGATTCCTTGGTATGATGCAAGTCCTGCATAACCAAACAATCAAGCTTCGTTCTCCTTGCTCGACTTAATGACGGGCAGACTGAGCAGGCTGGGAAACTTATTTCGGAAATTGGATTAACTGAGGTGAAGGTAATTGTGTGAAACAAAATGAAGAATCACTCTGAGGAGAGTCATAAGAAAAGCCCTACAAAAAAGAAAACAAAGCAAAACAAAAGTCAAACAGATCAAATGATGTCCATTCTTACAGCAGTTACTGATGCAGAAGAAACCTGCTAATGGTGAAGAAAGTGGTGAAGATTCATCCCTCAAAGAAGAAGAAGAAGAAGAAACATTCAAAAAAAGATGTGGAGGAGGATAATTGGTGATAAAACACAAATGAATGAAGAAGTGGAGTTTTAAATGCAGATTGCCCGCAAAAAAAAGGGAAGAAGCACAAGCTCAGAACGAAAGTATGATAAACCTTGAACTGATCCTCTTGAAGGTAACAGATACATTGATACTAATAACAAAAATCATTTAAGCAATTCAAGTAAAAGACAAGCTGACAGCAATACGCTGCTTTAGGTGAGAATAGTACAAAAGTAAAGTGTGGACCCACTGATTGACAAGCGAGTTTTTGGCATTGTCGAAAAGAAAAAAAATGCAAGAGAAAAAAACAGAAATCTGAGGATGATTACCAGCTTAAGCAGGAGATATCGAACCAAGCACGCGTTGTCAGAAAATCATAAAAGAAGAGGAAAGTCCAATGATGCATACAAATTAATTTGATTCATAACAATATGCAAGTGAAGAACATACAGAAAAAAAATCCACCATGAAAATGTGAGTTGTAACAGTGATGCTGATGCTTCTCAAATGAAGAGGATTTTGATGCCCCTGATGCAAGCAATGCAAACAAAAACATGGGAAAAGAGGAGGCTGAGAAGGATAAGCAAAAAGAGAAGAAGAGGAAGAAGAAACCTGCAGACAAAATGGAGAGATTGGGGGATTTACTTTGGTGGGAGAAGTTTTCATCTACAACCAAAGCAAAGGTATGCAAATATATCATTTACTTTTTCTAAATTTAACTTTTTCATAATTTTTTATTATTGGTCTTAACCCATTCGCGCCGGGTGTCACGTATACGTGACATGCCACTGTGAGTTACTTGTTTAATTGTTTTCACACATAGATGGCACACTTGTACTTGTACTGCCTGTCATCGCCTGTTTAACCCCTTTTTCTTTGATTTACAAAATATCTCACGTATCTTATTTTGCTCTTACTAATGTTTATATCATTATAGTAGATTATACTGTTTAATATAAAATAACCATCAATATTCATAGCACTAGTAAAAACACATTTTTCCCGCCATTCAAGTAAAGGTTCAATCAGGCGAGCATCAGTGAAGACTTTCATTAAAACAATTATAAAAAATGACACATCATTTTTCCCCCATTTTTTTGTTCATTTTTACCCGCGTGACTGGTTAATACGTCTGCTATAAGTTGTGTGCCTACAACTTTTTGATAAGATTTTATGAAAATGACAAACTCAACCTAAAATATATGTCATTATTAATATTTTTTCTTTGCATATGATTTATAAACACTGTATTTAAATGTATTATATAATAAATAATATATTATATATATATAGTAATATATAATATATATATATATATATAGATTATATATATATAATATATATCCTTCATTATTGGTGAGACGCTAATGCCAGTGGGCGGGCGCATAGCTGCCTCCACCCTTTGTTTTCCGGCTACGATGGATGACATGGCGAGCCGTCAGGCAGGTCCTGTTCCCATCTCTAATCTTTCACGACAAGTTGTTGTCTGCCCCAGCCCGCACCTTCCTAGGTCGATCCAACTGGCCCCTCCACTCAGGGTTTGTCTCACGAGACAACCTGGTGGGCAGATTACCCTTGTGGGTCTCAAACGAGCCAGGTGGTCATATTGCAATTAGTTGCGATTGCAAAGATTGTTCAAATAACAGGTCCTGTCCAGTCTCATGGTGCAACCGTTGTTGGGGGACTATGGTCCTGCCAACTGTACCACAGGATTCAGCGCAAGGATCTGTTACAAAGATGAGATTTCAGAAGCACGATGCAAGTCTTGAAAAGTGTTGGTGCACAGAACACAGCCTTTTCCTCACTCCGAATTAACAATGCAATAAGCTTGACAGTCTCACCATACTCTACAGCACTTTCAGTATCAGTATACAGCCTTGCCTATAATCCATAATCGCTGGTGTTGGATTCCTCTTAGTCACAGGATTTGTTTATGCCTCGCTGGATTGCTGCAAGTCATCACCAACCGACCCCCTTTCCCTTTCCCTTTCACAGAAGGATGACTAACACCCCAGCAGCAGGTCAGAGTGAATATTACCATTCTGCCAGAACAGTAACAGGACGTATGCATAAATCCCTTGCCATAAGTTCTCCACCAACCTTTAACAGTTCAGCTGGGATGCTGCAGATACCCACTGTTTTACCATTCCCCCAACAGGATCTGAGATTATATGGCCACTTGCTGAGTGGACTGCAGTCATCTGTGAGAAGGGCTAGGAGTTCAGCTTGCTCAGGGCTTGGTAAGCAGCGAAGGTCATTTAGTAGTAAATGGCATTTACCTCTGCAAGGTTCCTGATAAACTGTTCCTTGTCCCTTCTCAAGCAGTGACCTAGTCCTGCGCACCAGGGAATGATAGAAGTTGTGATCCCCTGCAGACGAGCCACACAACAGCATTTGTGGCTTCCAATGTCATCCTGGTGGATGAAATTCTCTCTTGCTCTTGGGCATTCACCAATCGATTCTTGGGCTGCAGCAATCATTTCCTGCTTGAAGGTGGCCCTCAAGTAGGGTATGACGCGGCCCCAATTAACCCCTTATTAAGCCACTTATTACCCCTTCATGACGGGTGACGCTGCTAGCGTGAAAACAAACCTCTTGTAAAGGGTGGGGGGGGCGCCAAAATTTTGGGGCGGGGGGCTGTATGCCGCGGCGGTGAGCCAAAGCGCGGCGAGCAGTGATTCAGCCCTGATGTACCGAACTCATACTGCTCAAAGTTGGCGCGCTGCCATGGTTTCGCCAGAGCGTAGAGCCTTTTGTTTTGTTTTCTTTTCACCTGTCACCATTGGGGGACTGGTGCAGGCATGGGGGCAGGAGTTAGTCTGAACCAGGCCATGTCCCTTGCATACTGCTGGGCCATGACTCGAGAGACCTCCCACATGCAAGCCTAGGATCGCAAGGTTACCTAGCTTCCTTGGGTGGCCATAAGGAGGCACTGGAGAGTCTTGACGATGAGAAGCTGTAAGGCTGGCATGGGGGGTTTGTTAAAAAAGACCACACACACATACCCATACCCATACCCACCCATATATAGATATGTATATCTAGATATGTATATATAGATATGTATATATAATATTTATAGATACGATATGTATAATGGACTATTCTATATGGATCTGTATATATGCATATGTATTAAATATACATATGTATATATACATATGTATATGTATTATGTAACTATATATTATTATATATATATATATATAGATCTATATATATCATATATATATATTATATATATATAGTACACATATATATACAATATATATATATATACACATATATATACATATATATCTATATATAATACATACACATACATATATATCCTATATATATTTAGGTATTTATATATATATATACATATATATACAACACACATATGTATATATGTATGTCCATATATATATATGTTCTGTTATATATTATGTTACATACGTATATATATGTACATATGTATATTAAATATATGTATATATCTATTTATAGATATATATGTATTATCTGTATATATATGTATATATATAATATATATATATGTATTATATATATATATGTATATTACTATGTATATATAATAATAATATATTTAATATGTATATATATATATGTATATATATATACTGTTATATATATTATGTATATATGTATATATCTTATCTGGTATATATATATTATTCTATATATATATTGTCTATATATATATATCTATTATATTATATATATATCTATATGTATTATATATATATGTATATATATATATATGTAAATATATATATATATATGTATATATATAGATGTATCATATATATATATTATATATATCTATATTTATTATTATATATATATATGTATTATATCTGATATATCTTCATCATATCAGTATATATATATATTATTATATATATATATATATATATGATATAAATATAGATATGTGGTGTATATGCATCTCTGCTTGAGATTAAAATAGTATAATATAATTATTGTCCTTATGCGGTTGAACGAGTATGCCACTTTGGGAGTCTAACCCAGTAAGTTTTGGAAGAGATATTCAAGGAGAAAAAAGTTCCTTTGTAGTCGATACACTGGTATCTGATACTTTCTCTCAAAAAAGTTCCTTAAGAAGCGAGAAATTGGAAGCATTTCTTTCCTGTCCAGACATGTGTTTATTCCAGAACTTTTAACCAGTGTTAGTTCTATATCAACAAGGTTAAGACATTTTCTGCTGGACAATGTATTAAAAATTGTCATTGATGTATAAATACTTATAATAGGAGTGGGTTGCAGTTGCATTTTAAAATAATTCTAAGGTGCCTCAAATATCATAACACTGTGTTTCAGGTTTTCGACACAAAAGGGACATATGTGTGTCTGCTCCCACTGGGAGTGGAAAGCACATTGTTTATGTTTCTTCTTATCATACAAGCTTGAGCAATAGAAAGTCGAAGAATACGAGCTCTGGTGCTTCGACCTGTCCAGGCATTGGGCATGCAAGGTCTGTCATTTTACATTGTGTTAAGTGTGGTGTATAGTGTAGTAATCAATTGTGTAAAGAAAATTAGGTTATTTGCACTTTCTGCTTCTTTCTCTGCTGTTTCTTTCCTTTTTCAGTCACCTCTCTATCCTCTCCTTCCCAATTCTTCTCTACTCCAACATGCCTCCTGCCTCCTTTCTCATTACCCCCTCAATTTTTCCCTCACCCTCCCTTTTTTTTTGCCTCCCCCCTCTACTCCTACCTTTCCTTTTTGGTATCACACTCTTCTACATCACTTTGTTATCATCCCTCCCTCCCTTTCTCTATCCCCTCATTACTTGTCTTCCCCTTACCTCTCCTTATCTCCACTCTTATTTCTTCCCACCCTCTTCTCCATATTCCCTTTACTACCTTTTGCCTTCCTTCACTACATCCCCCTCCTCCACATGCTTCCCTCCCTCTTTTACTCTATCTCTATACTCTACCCTACCTTTATCTTTCTCTTTCTTCATCCCCTCTCTTACTAACTTATCCCCCCTTATCCCAACGCTCACCCTCAACCCTTCCTTTCTCGTTACTACTCCACATGCCACCTTTTCTCTTTCCCCTACCTCCCTACCTCCTTCCCTCTCTCAACCTTCTCTCACTACCCTTCTCTCTTTCACAATCATGAACTGATTCATATATCTATCTATTCTCCAGGTGTATAAATCTTCCATACTATGCTGTTATAAAGAGCAGCTAAAGATTGGTTAGTAAGTGGTATAAATTTTTCAAAGAAGACAGCAGCTTTTGGTCCCGTCAATACTATGCAGGCTAACCTATCACTTGAGTTGATATTCTGGTTGCCTACCCCAGAAGACTGTCCTTATCCCCTGAGCTTCACCAAAGGCTTTTTGATCTTTCAACATCGAGGTCAGTGTGAAAATGACTTTTGTTATACTGAATGTTTTGGTTTAGTTTTTTGAGGTGAATAAGAATTAACCCAAGTCCGCTGGGGAAAATAAATATAAATGGGGAAAATGCTGTGCTCATTTTGCCTATATTTTTTGTGAATGTCCTCTGCACATAGATGCTCTGCTAGTGCTTAGCCACAAAGGAGTCAGTTAGTAAGACTTGTGACCATACCTGATTTAAAATGGCGGAAAAACATATTTTTTTTTTACCAGTGATTTATGAAGATCGATGGTGATATTTTTATAT